TCGGCAACAACTCCAAACTCGTGACTTGTAATCGAAGCTGTCTCCACACTCTCGTGCCCCGACTCGCCCGCCTCAGAACCAGTGGCCTCGGCCTCCGGAAGCTGCTGGATGATCTTCACTCCGAGGTCGTTCTCCAGCATGTCCAGCCACTGCTGGTCACGTCGGCGACGGGCTTCGGCACCAAAGTCTCCGAAAAACTCATTTGGGGGCCGGTCATCGGCGAACAACCCTTCTCCAAGAACATCTGCGTCAGCAACCTGCGCCCCAAAATCAGCTGCGAAGGCAAAGCTGTGGGGACTGGTACGCAGGGTCTCGGCCCGGCTTCGCACGCCATCCGCCTGCCAAGGGTCCTTGCCATCGGGGAAGGCCACGATCGAGAGTGCCGGGTGCCTTGTTTGCGAAAGTACCATATCCCGGTTCATCCCAAGGATGCTCAAGCTCCGGCCCGCGAAGTCAAAACACACTCTCCAGCGAGCCAGCTCCGAAGGGCCGACGAGGCCGGGACACTCCTTGGCAGCACCAGCAACACACGACATGCGGATCACATCCACCTGGCCAAAGATCCCGACCGGATACAAGCAGGCCTGGTAGGACTTCTCAGGGGCACCGGCACCGAACTGGAAAGTCTCGTTCTCCTCGACGGTCTCCCAAGTGATGCCCTTCGAGCGCAAGTGCTGCTGAAGAGCTTCGTGCCACATCGTGCCGGCCACGGCGGTGCGACAGCCACTGTCCAGGATGACCTGGCCAACCGGGCCACCGAAAGCAGCAAAGACCTGTGCTGCGGCTGGAGGGGAAGGCGGCACCACCGACGAAGCGAGGACACCGTGCCGCTCCGAGAAGTACAGCACATGCTTCAGGTCACAACTTTTGCATCGAGCCCAGCGAGCATGTTGATTGCCATTGAAGATCAAGTCTTCACATCGGTGTGCGCATCGAGCCTGAGACACAGAAGCCATCGGGGAAGCCGAGGAGGGTGTAGTGCGACGGCCGTTCCATGACAGCTCCCATAGAGAGTGGTGGAATTCCTCCATTTCTCTCTGTAACACCGCCTTTGCCTTATCACGTCCTCGACCATCTTTGCGAGCAGGGAGCTGAAGGGCAGGAGGAGCTTGAGGAGCAGGCATTCGGGAAACATCCGTGTCCGGCCAGGGCGCAGCACTGGCCGGCAAATGCAGAGAATCGGGACACCCGCCGCGGGCCGGGGCCAAAGGCAGCTGCTGGCTTCCCTGAGAGCGGGCGCCTTCCGTCTCCTCCTCCTGGAGCCACTTCCGGAGGCTCTTCTTCTCCTCCTTCGTCATAGAGTCCACGGCCGCCAGGGCCTCCAAAGGGGTCAGCTTCACCGTCGCATCCTTGTCCCGAGTCTTTCCCAGAGAGGCCTTCGGGATCCGAACGTCATGCATAGGCCTGGGCGGCGCCTCCGAGGACCGAGCCCCAGGGGCCTCCATGTACAAGTCGTCCTCGCCCTCGTTGCCAACCACTTGCCATTCCCTCTTGCTTTGCACAGTCGCCGAAGAGGGGGGGCCAGCAACAAAGGTGAAGTTCACGAAGTTCACGTCTCGGCCATGGTCGGGTTTGCGCTGGGCTGCTGACTGGTGAGGAGGGTCCTTTCCAGACAGAACGTTTGGGCAGCAGGAGTCGCCTCGCCAGTGTCCCGTCTGCCCACAGCTTGCACACGTCGAAGACCGCTTCTTATCAGCCAGGGACCGCTGGGAAGCCGAAGTCGTTGAGGAACCCGGGCGGCTCCATCCACGGGCCTTTCGCTGGGCCGCCTGCTTCCCTTTTGCCTTCCAGCCAGCCGCGAAAGCCTCCATAGCAGCCTCCCCGTCCACAGTGCCGTCCTGCGAGAAAGCTTCGTCATCGGGGAGAGCGTCCCCCTCCTCATTTCCAAGGCCGCCCTCCGCTTCTTCCTCGTCGGGACCGGGCTCCGCACACTCACCATCCCCGGCCATCTCGTCGAGGTCCTCCTCCTCCTCTATATCTTCTAGCTCCCCACCGGCTAGGTGCACTGAGCTCTTCTTCCTGAAGCCGAAACCACGACCTGCCATAGAGCTCGATCGTCGGGTAGGGGAAGAGGATGCCGAAGAAGGAGCGGTGGATCTCATAGAAGACGTCGTCGAGCGGGTCCCGGTAGAAGACGAGGGCACCTTTCTCTCATCCTCGTGCACGGTGGCACATCTGTACCGGAGCGCGGCCTCGATCTGCACCGGGTCATAGCCACCTGCACTGTAGTACACATCCAAGCGTTCACGGCGGCTAAGGGAGGCCCGGTTCAGAAGTCGTTGCCCCCAAGCCTTGGCACTCATGACTGTCTCTGGGTCCACCCTGACATACTGGGCCTTGAGCCGCTTCATCCCGGCAACGTAGCTAGCTATGGACTGGCCTGGAAGACGACGATAGCCTTGCAGTTCCCGCTCGGCACGCTCAAACTGTTCACAAGACGTTTCGTCATAGCTTTCATCCAGCAACTTCCAAAGCACCACATCGCCTCCTGCACACGTGTACTCTGACAAGGCCAGTTGGTCGAGCACATCCCTCGCATCCCCCCGCGTCGAGAGGTAGACTAACATCGTAACCTCCTGGGCCTCGAGCTGGTAGAGCTGGGTCTGGGCCTCAATCGCCCTCTTCCAAGAGCGATACCGCTTTCTGTCTCCGTAGAACTCCTCTATCTTGACGCTGCCGATGGAGCTCTTTGGTCGGGTGCCCTCACGGGCCCTGCGCCTCAGCATGGAACGAAGCTCAGAGGTCCCGGCCGAGCTCGAGGAACCCAAAGAGGGTGCACTTGGCGCCTTTCCAGCTGGGGGCCCATCACCAGGCGGGTCCGAAGCACCAGGACCTTGCCCATCAGGAGGTCCAGGATCATCACCAGGAGGGGTGCCGCCTGGTCCAGGTAGATTTCCAGGATCACCCCGGTCATTTCCCCTCGCCCTCCGCGAAGGTGAGGACGAAGAAGAGGAAGATCCTGAAGACGAAGGAGGCCGTGAAGGGCCCTGAGCAGCAACCTGCGGCACGGAAGCAGCTGCAAAGCCATCCATAGTCATGCCCGGCGGGGCTCCCCACATAGGTCCCTGATAAGGACCCATCGGCATACTCCAAAAGGGCGGGGCCTGCCAGGACCAGGGAACTGGTAATCCAGAAGGTCCGGGCACGCACCCTTGAGCACCGCCAGCTGGTCCAACACCTGCAGCAAGCCACCCAGGAGGAACCGAAGGAGGTAGCGCAGGGGCCATGGCTCCGCATCCACAGCCAGCTTCCTGCGGCCATGTACCGGGCGCCATCTGCTGCGGGGCTGGTCCTGCACGTACTGGCCCATACGACACCGGAGGTCCGCTCGGGGCAGGGCCAACACCTTGGCTCAGCACACTCCACGTCGATGACGGCGGCACCTCGGGAGAGCTGTTGTTGGCATTGCCCTGCGCTCCACCCCAGGGGTCGCTCTGGTCCCATGGATCATCGGGAACCGGCGTCTCACGGGCTCCCGCATCTCCTGCCACGGTCGCAGCCATGGCTCCAGACTACAGCAAGCAGGGCAGCCTACCCTAGGAACTAGTGCAACCAGCTCCGCTACCAATATGGATCGGGATAACCAACCCTAAA